TTAGATGGTTTTCGGAAGGGGCATACATCCTTCCTTATCGGTTTAAATTGATGAAGAGCTGGTAATGAGTTTTGCTATGTGATGAGTCGACATGTTAGCATTAATGTTATGGAGTGGACTGTAATTCCGACCATGTTTCGGACTGCTTAATAACTATAGAAGTAGGGAATGCAGCGTACCGTATCGACAAGTCAGTCACTACGCCACATTTCCACAAATGTCCTTCTGTCACGGGGTAAAGCGAGTAACAGAGTCACATTTATGTGGTGGGTTTGTCAAAAAAGCAATTTTATAATTGTTGCATCAACCGATTTATTTTTAATGTATTAGTCGGTTTTAGATATTACAAGTATACCTTATCTGAAAGCTGTGTTCATCCTATTTCGTTTAAGGTGATTAAGGACTGGTAACTGAATTTTCCCATAATTATCAGTAAGCTTTATGATTTAATTGAACTTCACGCAGACTTGCCGATTAGAAGGTAATCTTAGACAATGCGGCCTCAGACATGCTTCGGCATCACTTAGGCCACAGCAACTTATCTGGTAGGACTTCTAGTCTTTGGGTGGCAAGGCTATGTAAAATTTAACGGAACAATGAAGCCTAATAATAAGGAAATTGTGAGAAAATACAAATACCAATCCTTCATCATTTTAAACGAAATAGGGCACACAACTTTTGGATCATATCTATGGAGTATATTAAGTGGATAATTAGAAACTGAAAATAGGTAATGAATTCGAAATCTGTTTTTCGGACACCCGACAAAGATTTGTGGAATTGTAAAGGACCGGGCATCATTTAAATTCGGCTCTGGCCTGCGATGCTGTGATACAAAAGCTCACCAAAAACAGGGGGTCAGCTAAATATGCACAAAAAGTCATTCGCCTTCTTCAGCTTCCTATGAAGGTTACATAATCCTACCGATGTTTTTAAACGAGACGAGACACGATTCTCCGAGACAACTATACACCTGATGTTGAAGAAGACCATTTTTAGCCATGCGAATATGCTACACTCTGCATTATTAGTCGTCAACACGTTCACCGGCCATTATTTCGTAAATTAAAGGCTACAATTATTCCCTAATTTGCCTGTTTGTTTCAGCACAAAAATGCATAATTAGCTGACAACCGATCCATTATTTTACAAGTGGAAATCTGACCTCAGAAGGCTGATTACGTTAGAAAAGCATGCTTGTATAGAGCTTCGTGAGTAAAAAGGAGATTAGCTTTACAATTCTTTGCCAGAATCCCCCATTAGAAATCATAAGTGGAAAACACGAATCCGCAGGAATGAAAAGTCAATCTCTCATCCTGATGCCGAATATTACGGCTGCTAACTGCATTGGGTACTTACAATAGAATCTAACCTAATGAAAGACTTGCCCTAGTAAGGTCCTCTAAAAGTTAATGCACATATCTTAAGATAAAAATCATAAAAAGCAGCATATAGCTGTGATTTCAGATGAGTGACCAGTCAACAAAATACCCAATTGTATGTAATGGAAAGATAGACACAGATCTGAGAAAAAACGAGCAGGATGAAAATAATTCAATATATGATCCCAGTTGACATTGTCTGATGCTTGATCAAACTAATCGAGACCTCTGAGAGTACCCTTGGGCGCCTATATTTGTAGCTCCATAAATGAGTTACAAATATTAACAGAGGCAGATTAAA